CGGCAAAGTCGTCGTGGTCCCGGCGCAGGCAGTGGAAGCAGCGCCACTGGAACACCATGAGGCAGAGGGGCAGCATGAAGAGGGCGCAGATAGCTGCCATGACGTAGGCGATGGTCATCAGGGTGGACTCGTCCGTCTGCGGGATGTTGTAGCCGCAGTCCTCCATGTTGGAGTGCAGGTAGGGCCCCTCCACTGCGGCCGTCCGAAACTCGTCGTGCACTGTGGGTGGGAGAAGGCAGGGCTCTGGCGGCTGCACTACCCCTGCACGTCCACGTCCCCCCGCCTCTCCCTCTCTCCAGGCCCAGCCCTCACCGTGGCAGGCACTGACAGCGAAGCCGATGCGCTTGCGGGCACGGTCAAAGACCACGTGCCTGTGGAGGACTGGGAGATGGCAAACTTGTAGCAGTCATCCTGAGAGGTGGCCACATCCTCCACCGGGCGCAGGTATTGCTGCAGAAAGAGAGGCGCCGTCAGGAACGGGGACGGGGCAGAGCTCCCAGGGGCAGGCAGCTGTGCCCACCCAGCATGGTCCTGCCCATGCAACCATCTCCAGCCCGCTCTCCAGCTCGGCACCGGGCAGGGTCTGGCCGGGCCAACGCTCACCTGGGGCAGGATGGTGATCCGGAAGGACTGGTTGGTGGCCTCCCCCATCAGGTAGAGGGACAGGACCGGGAAGATGTGCCATGGGGTGGTGCCGACCTGCCAGCAAACCAGCTGCTCCCCCAGCCAGAAGCCGTCCGGGAACTTCTCCGTCTGCCGAAGGGAAAGGGGAGGTGAGCAGGGCTGCGCCGGGCCAGCAGCAGAGACGCTCAGGCTGGTGACGGGCAGCCACGCTGCCCGCAGCCTCGCACTGGCCCTGGGGTCATGCCCATGGTGAGCGGGATGGGTTTCACTGACCGAAGAAGCTGTTTTGATGGATTTCACCGCAGCCTCAAACACCTTCTTTGGCAGCCTGAGGTTGGTGGTCCCGCTGTCCACGATACTCTTGTCGTAATTGTACTGGGGGCAGAAGAGGAGGAGTGACCCAGGCGCAAGACCCCAGGCCCGCTGCCCTCCCGATCCCCCTCAGACCGAAGGCGGATGCCTCCAGCAGCAGTGACAGAGCAGTGGCCCGTAGGGCAGGTTCCCCCCGTGCCCCCTCACCTCTTTGCAGTCCATGTTCAGGTCCTGCCCGTTG